CCAGTTGGTTATGTGGAAAGGAGGAGGTTGTGGGAGGAGTTGGTGATTGCTAGGAACAAATGGGTAGCTCCGAGGTGTGAGGGAGGGGATTATAATGTCATTATAGAGTTTAGCAAGAGATCTACTGAAGGGAGATGGATTTCGGCTACGATAGAATTCTCGGACTTCATTCATTCTCATCATCTTATTGATCCTTCATTGGAGGGAGAGCTATTTACTTGGTTTAGTGGTCAGGACTCCCCTACCTTATCCTGGTTGGATAGATTTTTGGTGTCCGAAGATATGGAAGAGAAGTTCTATGATTTATCTTAGGTGACTGGCCTAAGCGATCTAGGATCACATTTTTATCTTGTTAGAATGTGGAAGGGTGAAAAGAGGGAGAACTCCTTTCCGGTTTGAGAATATGTGGCTTCAAGTTGAGAACTTTAAAGAGAGAGTTCACATCTACTGCTCTGCTTTGGAGGCAAGGGACAACCTTTGTTTCCAACTCGCTTCAAAAATAAGATTGTAAAAGGGGGACATCAAAGCATGAAATAAGGATGTGTTTGGCAAACTGGAATGACAAAAAAATAAAGAATCATTTATGATATTTATAAGTTGGATAGAAAAGAGGTGAAGGGGGTTTAAGTGACATGAATGCGCGTTGAAGGGAAGAGTGCAAATTTGAATTTGGGGAGGTTGTGGTGATGAGAGAAATCTCTTTAAGACAAAAGTTGAGAGAAAGATATTTGGTTGAAAAAATGAGACCGAAATACTAAATTTTTCCATTGTCTAGCGAATGCACATAGAAGAGGAAATCATATTGGGAGGAATTGTTTTGACAGGATTATGATGAATAGCGAAGAGGATATCTGAAATGATTTGTGTATAAATAGGGAAGAGGATATCTGGAATGATTTTGTGTTCTCTATCGGAACCTTTTCACGGAGTCTGCTTATAGACCGTTGCTCGATAGGCTTAAGTTTGCGAGGATCACAGACGAGGATAGGGATTGGCTTGAGATGCCTTTTGGGGAGGAAGAGGTCTTGGTGGCTTTGAGGAGCTGTAATGGAGACAAAGTTCATGGGTCGGATGTCTTAACTTTGGCATTCTTCTAACTAATTACGAGGTGTTGAAGGCAGATGTAATGGGAGCTATTAGTGATTTCCATTCAAACAGACACTTTAAGAAATGCCCAATGCGTATTTCATCACGCTTGTTCCTAAGAATATGAAGCAGTGGAGGCAAAGGATTTTAAGTTCTAGCCATCCATCTAAAGAAAGTATTAGACAAAGTGATTTTGGAATCTTATAACGCCTTCGATGGAGGGAGTTATATCCATGGCTTGAATTTGGTTGCTAATGAGTGTGTGGAAGCTATGCTTTGAAGTAGAGTCCCATAGTTGTTTGTAGGTTGGACATTTACAAGGCCTATGAAAGCTATGATCATGTTTGTTGAGACTTCTTATTGTATTTGCTAGAAAGAATAAGGTTGGGCATAAACAGAGGATGTTGACTTACTATTGCATCTCTTCTGCGCGATTCTCTATTTTGGTGAATGTCTCCCCTGTAAGGTTTTTTTGCTAGTTCTCTAGGTTTATGCCATGGAGATCCTTTTTCCCTATTTCTATTTGTCATTGTCATGGAGGCCTTAGTAGTAGGATGATGAGAAGGGCGGAAGATTTGGATTTCATTAGAGGATTTTCAGTGAGAAGTGGTCCCAATCAATTGGTCGTCTCACATTTGTTGTACGCAATACTATTATTTTTTGTGATGCAAGGGTGGACTAACTCAAGTTTCTAAGATGTGTGCTGGCTTTCCTCCAAGTTGTCTCAAGGATGAAAATTAACATTGGGAAGAATGAATTGGTGTCGGTTAGGGCAATTGAGAAGGTCCATGGATTATTAGAGATTTTTGGTTATGGCGTTAGCTCTTTCACACTTTCCTATCTAGGGCTGCCGCTGGGAGCCACATCTGGGAGTGTTTCAGTTTGGGATCCCATGGTGGAATGTTTTGAACGGAGACTTGCAGGGAAACAGTAATACCTATTAAAGGGGGAGGATTACCTTATGAATAGTACTCTTTTGAATCTTCCTATTTACTACATGTCTCTTTTCCATATGCCTAAGACTATAATTCGAAGATTGAATAAGATTCAGATGAAGTTCTTATGGGGATGTAAGGATGGTGATTTCAAATACCACTTGTTCAACTAGAAGAAAATGTGTTCCCCCTTAAAAAATGAGGGTTTTCAACAAGGCTTTGTTGGGAAAATGGCTTTAGAGATTTGGGAGCGACGTATCTATGTTTTAGAGCAGGGTTGTTGCCTATATTGACTTGTTATTGTGGGAGGATCTTTGGTGTAGGGACTTGTTATTGGCTCAAAGGTTTCCTCATCTTTTTAGGATATCCACGAATAGGCATGTTTTGGTGGCTGCCTGTTATCGGCTCGATAATGAAAGGGTAAATTGGGATATTGTGTTTTATAGAGATTTTCATAATTAGGAACCTACTGAAGTTTGATATTTTCTTGTTGTTGTATAATCAAAAGGTGAAGGGTGAGGGTATAGATGAGATGGTGTGGTTGGATAGTTGTAGAGGGACCTTTAAGGATAAGGTTTTCTACTAGAGTTTGGCAAGCTCTTCATTCACTTGGAACGCTATTTAAAGGATGCATGATTTTTTTTTTTTTTTTTTCTCTCTCTTGGTTAGCTACTCTCTGAAGCATTCTTACCAAAGACAACCTTCGAAGTTGATGTTAAATATTCATCAAATGGTGTTGGATGTGTAAGGAGTCGGGAGAATCAGTGAACCATCTCCTCCTCCATTGCCTAGTGGAAAGGGATGTGTGGTCTACGTTCTTGGTTATCTTTGGTATAAGTTGGGTGTCACCCGTTTCCACGATTGACATGATGGAGCTTGGAAAGTGTGTATAGTGGAGAACCGAGCCAAGGACCTGTGACAGGCCACCCCCCTTTGTTTTATGGCGGGGTTTGTGGCTTGAGAGGAATATGAGGTCTTTTGAATGAGAGGAATCTCCTATTTGGTTTCTCAAATACAACAGTCTTTATTTATTTATTTAGGTTAATGGGTCTAATTATACATCACTGGGGCATCTTTTAGAGTTTGTGGATAGCTTGAAATTATAGTGGCCTAAGATGTCTTCTTCTTCTTCTTAGAGAGTCTTTTATGACAATCTTACTTATAAAACAAAAAACTCCCTTAACTTCTTAAAATTTAAAATTTAAATTGACGCTCTTCGTGTTTAGTGGGTCACTTTGGTTAAAGTGTTTGGATAGGTGGGATGATTTGATGAATAAAATTGTTTAGACTGGATGATTCAATGAATTAAATTGTTTATATTGTAGGTAATAGTACTTGAAGAAAGTAGGTTTTTTTTTTAATAAAAGGTTGATAATATCACCGTTGATGGAATTTATGTGGTATGATTAGAGTGTTTGGTGGATGGATGGGACTATTTAAACAGTAGGTAATACTTGAAAATTTTATAGAAGGTAACACTTGAATATAATACAAGAATTTATGGAAGGTAAATAGTTGTATGGAAGAAGTACAATACAAAGTAGAAGAAAGAAAATTTCTTTTATTGCATGACAATTGATTATTATTTTTTTAATTTTTTTTGTTAGCCTGACAATGATTAGTAATTAGTTGGGGGTAAAATTGAATCTAGGATCAATATGGTGGGGGCACTTTAGATCTGGTCTTTTTACTACTCGGCAACACCGTCACACCTGGAGCAATTAATTATTCTACAATTACAATTTCTAATATTTTTTTCTTTTTAGAAATTTGTACAAGTACTTTGACATGTCATCTGTGTGAAAATATACATTATTACTCCATATCTCGAGTTACAATTTGTACACATATTTTTGCATGTATTTGTCTAGGGAAATCTATTTAGACTTTCTTAGTCTAATTCTTTTGTTGCGTGCATACATGTGCTCTAAGCAATTAGCTACCTTAGTAAATCACATTAATACATTTTACTTATCTATATATATATATTTCTTTGGAGATGTAATTGGCGCTCCATAAAACTCCTCTTGCGCTCCACCCTTATTCCCAACAAAATTAAATGACAAAACCCCTATATCGATTTTTTCAGATCCTATTCTCTAACATCATATTTTCTTCTCATTCTTCGTTTATCTGATTTTTTTTTTTTTTTTTTTCATTAGCGTAGATTGTGGATTTTAGCCTCAAATATTGATATGATCAACAAAGCATTCTTAAAACCTCTTTCCATGTTATTACTGGTAATAGAATTAAACGATCCTTGTAATAAAAAAGCAAACGACCCTTTTTTTTTTTTTATATATATTTATATTTTAAATGTTTTTTATAGGTAAATGTATTTTGTATAAATAAGAAAATTATGTGCAGCCCAGATACTAGCCTGAGGAAGGCTATAGAGCTATGATACAAAAAGGACCTAGCCCAATATAGAGCAATAACCAGCCCACAAGGACCAACATGATAATTAATCCCCAAAGCAAGCAACATGACAGTTAATCCCTTATTTCAGTGACACATCTGTACAGTACGCAGCCCAGATACTAGCCTGAGGAAGGCTATAGAGCTATGATACAAAAAGGACCTAGCCCAATATAGAGCAATAACCAGCCCACAAGGACCAACATGATAATTAATCCCCAAAGCAAGCAACATGACAGTTAATCCCTTATTTCAGTGACACATCTGTACAGTACATTACAAGAAAAACAATTTTTTCAGAATGTCCTTTTTACCACGATTTTACAATAAAAAGTAATATATTTTATAACGGTTATTGTAAAACCGTGGTAGAAAGTTTCCTGATAATAATTATACTTTTTAACACGATTATATTATACTTTTGTATCACTCTTTTAATCACGGTTAATGAAAAACTGTGGTAGTAAATTATTCTACCACAGTTCAGGCACCGAGATCGGAAGTGAATTTGGATTAACGCAATGCGCGGGTCTTATTCCCGCTACTTTCTTAAAAATTTAAGGCAAATCATTTTAGACCAAACACACCATTCCACACATGTTAGGGCAAATCATTTCAGCCTCCCAAATCGCCTCCATCTCTATATTCTCGTTCTCAACTCTGAACTTGCTCTCTCTCTGTCTCTGCAACTGCAAACTACAAAATCTACAAGAATCAGATCAGCCTCCCAAATCGTCTCCAACTCTATTCTCGTTCTCAACTCTGAACTTGCCCTCTCTATGTCTCTGCAATTACAAACTACAAAATCTACAAGAATCAGAACCCATTTCGGCATATCATTTCAGATTGTTTAAAAAATTAAAACCCATATCCTTCAGTTTCCATCGCCCGCTGTTCCAGTTTGGGTTCGCTGTTCGAAAGCTTCAGCAATCGACCAAAATTGCATAACTCTACAGGTAAATTTCTAGGGTTTTTGAGCCTTGTCTCACATGGTGATTGATTAGCAAAAAAATCCTAGCGATATCTGTTTTATCTCTCTAGGGTTTTTATCTCAGATGGAAGGCGTCGATGATGATTTCGGCGATATATATGTAGACGTTGAAGTTCAAGCAAGTACAGCCATCAATGACTTCCCAAACCGCACTCAATCATACACAATTTAAGGAGTGGAGGGTTTGATGATGATGAAGAGGAGGAAGGTTGTGATTTTACAGCTGCAGAGGGGAATGGTTCGGGTAAGAATCGGAAATGGGTTGATCAATCCCAGTTGGGCGATGGATTGGAACAGTGTTCTAATGGTATTGGTGGCGGTGAGAGGGGAAATCTGGTGAAGGGTGGTTATCATTCACAATACAAGGTAGCGTTAAATGTTATATATATATATATATATTCGGATGTAAGAATTTGTGTTATAGGATCGAACTTGGTGTGAATAAAATTGTGAGAGTTGATCAATAATTTGTGTTCGTTTTAGAAATGAGATTGAATTTGGCAATTTCAATGGGTAGCTGTCGGTATAAGGCCTCCAAGGCTCTACCTTGGAGATCGATACCTTTTATTTTGATGTATGTGCTTTGTTCTTATCAAATGTTTGAATTGGGAGCATTTTTGGATTTAAATGGATGATCTCTTGGGAGGAAGCAGTGCGGTCACATAATTCCTGATTAAGTTTTACTTTGTAACTGGACTCATTTCAAATAATAGAACTCTCAGTTTAGCTGATAAAGATAGGTTGATGTCTTTCCTTTTTCTTTTTTTTTTTTTTTTTTTTTTTTTTTTTTTGAGATTCTTTTATTTTATTATGATATGATTACGACATTTACATATGAGTTCTCTCTATTTCTCTGTAGCAGTAATATAATCATCCTACCTGAAGCAGCTGTTTATTGTTATTTGTAATTAATGATTTTTCACTGGGTTTTGTGTTGTGTAGTACTTCAGATATCAGACGGCAGCTTATCCTTGTAATTCAAAAGCCAATGGATCCATGGTTTCAGCTTCCTACTCTTCCACCTTGGCTAGAGGCAATTGGGACAATAATGGGTCCAGTCAACATATGGGCTCAAGCTCAGTAGTAACTCAAAGTGGATACAATTTCTCTCTTCCCTGGTATAGGTAAGTGAATTTGGTTATGATCTTGATTGTACTCAAGCTGGGTTCTTTGGCAAACTAGTTGTTGTTTATGACATGTGATAGATATGTCAGATGTATAATAGAATTAATATTAGTTAGGATAATGTAAGAGTTCAATAGTTAAAAATGTACTGATGTTAGAAGCACTATCTTTCTTACCACATTTATGAGAAAAAAAAAAAGCATAATGTGTATGGTGAGATGCTGAGAACAAATGCTATATGAGATTTCTGGTTCTCATAAGGGCCACTTTTGGCACTAACGTAACACTTATTCTGTTCTCGATTCATGTCATTAAAGGTTCTGTATGCTGTTGATTAAGTGGCATCCCATTTTTTCTTGCAGGACTATAGTAGATGTAAATATTGCTATGTTCAAACAGAGGCCATGGAGGCATACTGGAACTGATATAACAGATTTTTTTTTTTTAATTTTGGGTTCAACGAGGAAAGTTGGAAAAGTTATTGCAACTGTCTGGTAAATGAATATTCGTTTAATTTTACCTTCTAGTAAATTTACATTGCTTGTCCGTAAATACCAAGGTTGGTCTTCTTGGGCATACACATGTATATTAGCTGGGGTGAGGTTCTACTCCATTTCCAGTTGATTTGTTGTTATGCTGTTGATGCACTCAGCATACAACCAACCTGGTTTACTTTAGTTTACTTTCCTCCCTACTCTTCCTTCTTACCTGATTTTTAATTGCATGGCTCATCAAGTGCATCAAAATTTGTAAGTCACTGCATTTCTTTTATGATTACACATTTTTAATGCCTTTTATACTCATGCTCAGGGGTCACGTGCTTTTAAGTGATCAATTTTGCAGTGTATAGGGGGTTACGTGTTGAAAACAACACGTATAATATTTGTGTATGTAAAAGGTCAAAAGAGAGAAATCGGTTTTCACACTTTGACTATTGCAGTTTAGCATGTTATTCATTCTGTAAAATAATCTCGTCGTTTGCTTTGATTTCTTCCAGTTTTACAATTATAGATCCAGGTATTTATGTTTAACTATTTATTTATACGTTATAGATATGTGAAAATCATGAAGTTCTAAAATTTAGAATTCATGTAAATTTGTGATTAATGCTTGATATGAATTATTATAGTTTACACACAATTGGAGCACATAATGCTTTCAAAATCAATAAGGTGTATGTTCAAATTTCATTCAAATCTTTTAAAAAATTTAAAGAGAAAAGAAGGAAAACAAGACTTCAATTATCATTGAATATCTAAAGAACTCTTTTAAAATCACACTGCAAGTATTTAATTTGAATTATGTGGTTGAACTGGGTTTAGAAACTCATTCAGCAGGACAAATAACTAAATGACTTTCAATATTCTTCAGAACAAAATTCAAGTCATCTTGTCTCGGATTTTGGAACAATTAACATATGAAATTTAAAGGGCCAAACTTTTTGGTGTTCTCAAGCAAGTACAATTAATAAGCCATTCTCACTGGAAATAAATCAAAAGAATACGATTGTTTCTATTCCCAAATTGAAAATTATTAAATTTATTTAAAAAGTGTACTATATCAAGTGTTGAATAGAGAAAAAATAGGAGTTTAAAATATTATATGAAAAATTGATATTAACTTATTTTTTTATAGAGTTTTTCTAGTATGTTTATTTCTTAGTCATAAATAGTTTTTCTCGTAGATCTATTTTCAGTAAGATATATCTTTTGCATCTCTTTGGACTTCCCAACACCTTCAATGGACAGGGATAAGGGGTTTTTTTTTTTTTTTTTTTTTTTTTGCCTTTCTCTCACTGGTGGAAAATATGAAAAAGAAAAATTAAAAGTTTATAAATACTGCAAATTCCGCATGGTACAGTTTTGTATCACTTATAAGATTTTGTTGGTTTGTATATTGTTTTAAATATTAAATAAAAGTAGAGTATTTGATTGATGTAGATAGATTATGATTTCGAATTTAGGTTGGGTATAGATGGGGGGAGAGAGAGAGAGAAGAGAGTCTTGTTAAATGAGGGATTTAAAAAAATTAAATAGGAAAAAAGAAATTGAGTTCGGGCTTAGGGGATTCTAAAAATTTAAATAGGAAAAGAAAAAAATTGAATAATAATAATTATTAAAAATGAAAAAAATTTAAATACAGATCTAAATTATATTGTCCTTTAGTTTTAAATCTCATAGGATATAGCTAGATTTATGGTATTTGTTGAGGAAAAAACAAAAAGAAAAAAAGGAATGTTAATAAATCAAATATAAAACCCTAATCTCGGTTGGCTAGGGTTTAATACAAGGGCAGGCTATCGATCGATCTCATTCTCGCGTGGGTGATGGCGTTCCTGGGCCGAATTCTTCAATTCAGTGATATGGAGAAGAAAATAAGAAAAGAGGTACGAAGAAGAATGAATGCCCCTCCATACATGCTTAAATTCCCAAAAGGCGTCCCTGATCCTCTGAGTTCTACTTGATTTGGTTTGATTACATGAACCATCGCTGTCGTCGTCGTTCACTCCTTCGATGCGCCAGAATAGTTGTTTCTAGACGAGTTGACAAGCAGAAAAACAAAATCCGCTCCAAAGCTTATACTCTCTCCACCAAAACTTATCTACTTTCTAAATTATTTGATATCATGGATGCCGTGGTGGTGTAAGTGATTCTTGGACCTTTTACTTTTCAACTTTCTCGTCCCTGCAAGGGTGATCATATATATTTAGTAGTTAGTGCTTCAGTATGTTTTAAATGTTTTAAGTAATTTTTTTATTTTTTATTTTATTATTTCACAATTAAGTCGTTTATTATGCTTGGTAGTTGAAAGGATTGAAACCCTAGTGGGGATGAAAGTAGTTGTTTTATTGCCTTTTGATTTTAAGCTACAATAGCAGAATTTTAATCCGACTCAACATGATTGAATAAAATCCCTGCTCAACTATATTTCCAAATGCAGCCAAATCCTTTCTTCGAACTCAACATCTTAACTACACCTTCAAACCAAATGAAGTAAATTGCTGCAGAGAATACTAGCTTGTGGACCAGAAATTTCATGCCATTCTAGTAAGAAGAGGTCCATTCAATAAGTGCAGCCCCATCCGAATGAAGGATGTAGAATCCTGCAACATCTTGAATGAAATTCCAAATGACTGAAGTAAAGCTACATCTGAAGAACATATGATCAAAGAGATTCTTCCACCAGCAAGGCAAAGGTAACAAGCTTTAGCATAGTGCTTATTTCGCATTGCTTTGGCGTTGAACGTTCTCAATTTTCCTGTGACTGCTAGCCAAGTAATAAAACTGTGTTTGGTATATGGTGCTTGAACCAAATGAGGTTGTACAAGACAAATAGAGGAGAAGGTGGAGCATAGAAATCCGGAGTGTGAGCTAGAGAGAAATTATTTGTTGGAGATGGAGTCCACAAGTAATAATATCTTGATTTTGTGATGGAGCAGGCAAATCATAGAGTTGTGAAAGGAACCTGTGGCTTTGTAAGAAGGTAATTGGGATGACTGAGAGTAGGCAGTTCCCACTAATTGTTGGAAATTAGTCTATCAACTATGGCAAATCTACCCAGTTGAAGAATTTCCGCATCAGTTAAGTAAGTTTGGTTGGTAATGGGACCATTTGGCAACCAATAATCCATCCAAATCATGGTATCATTGCTTGTGCCCACCCTGTGTTTGATTATGTTCCTAGCCATGTCCCGAATCTCGATCAACCCCCTCCAAGAACCTGAACTAAGAGAAGAACACTTAATTGACCAAAAGCTCTTACCTTTCAACAAATAGCAATGAACCCAATCCACCCATAGACTTTCGTTCTTTTTTGCAAACAGCCTCCAAATGTGTTTTAAATTAGCAGCAAGGTTAGAAACCTCAAGATTTGGAAAGCTGATACCCCATACTTGTTATGCATGCAAACTACATCCCATGCCACCTTTGATTTTGTCTTCTTCATTTCCACTCCTGACAAGAGGAAGCATCTTAGAATCTGATTGATCTGGTCTAACACCTTCTTGGGTAAAACAAATGCTTGGGACCAATAGGATTGGATGGAACACAAAATGGACTTGAATTCAATTCTCTAATCCTTTTTTTTTTTTTGTGGGGGGGGGGGGTGGGGTTGTTAAAGGATAAGCTTGTGTATATATAAGAAGAATGTACATTGGATCCCAAAACAGGGAAGAAAACAAGATGAGTGAAACCCTAGCAACAGCATCTAAGGTGACCACCATTTGCTTTCATAGCAAGACATCAAGTTAATATTGTTAGGACATCAGCCAGGACTTTCCACAAGTTGTGGAACATCCCTGCATTAGTTGCATTTCTCAAAGAGAACTAATTCTTGACTTGAGAATGAATGTGTCTGGTTCCTGAATGCCCTTGCATTCCTTTCCATCCAGATGAAATAGATTGCAGCAGACCATAGAAATTTATCAATCCAGTCTTTTAAACTCTCAACCAAAGAATTTTTTCTACACTTACACAATTTTTTTACATTTTTCTAATTTTCAGTTTCTGAAAAATGAAAAATCAAACCAAACATACCTTTTACACCTAGAAGTGTTTAGTACATGGGAGTTTTTTTTATTTCTTTTCTTTCGGGGTATTCACAATCGATCAACATCCACCACTTTCTATGAGCATTTTGATTGGGTGAACATACCAATGACATGATATGTACAACACATCTAGTATCTTGAAATTGAGGCTCATGTAATTGGTCCAAAGGAGTGTACATATCTAGGAGATCTTACTTACAAATAAGTTTCATTGTGCCCAAAAAAAAAAAAAAAAATTTCTAATAAATCATGCAAATTTCGGCCAGCTCTGAAATATTTTTGTGCAAGTAAGGATAAATTTCTATGCTACTAACAAAAAGCATAACATATTGTTCTCATACAACTTCCAGAGAAAAAGGAACAAAAGATGAGATCAAAACCCAAGCTATGAGGTAAGCAGCTTCAATCTATCATCCCTCCATCACAAGACTATGTATCCCTCCTTCAAAAGACTATGTACAACGACCTTTAAGATTATTCTTATCCCAAATAGTCCTTGTTTAATGCACCTGTGCAAACAAAATTTATTAGGTGAAGTGAGGCTTCCAGACTTCCACTTCATCTGCGTTAAAAGAGAAGATACCAACCGGAGAACTGGTGCAGTCAACCATGCTGTGATTGTTGAATCTACCACTTGGAAAGCCTTGTTTTTGATCCAGAATCACAATCACCGTTAATTGTATCATCGTGAAAATGCCTTCTTACACCTTTTCCAATTCTCGTTCTGTCCTCAATTTAGCTAATGCAGCAATAAATAGAGAGAACAGAGCCCAGAGGTGGGGTCTTACAACTCTCGGATTTTTCAACACAAACTCAACAACTGCTTCATCACTCAGTATCTCCCAAAGGCATCTGATGCAAATATCAAGAACAAATCTTGTGGTCGTAACTTCTGAATCAATATCAGGGGCTCCGCTGACATCACATGTCTTTTTAAAGGAACAGGTGATCCAAATTGCTTGAAAAGAGGATCTCTGTAAAACTCAGGTTTTTTCAGATAGACATCCACAATTGATCACACCTAAAAGAAGAAATGTGTTAAAATATATACCTTAGTTGCAGATTATTATTTTCTTTTCTTTTGGGAAGATAATTTAGATGAATGTCCATAAAGTGCAGTGATGAAATTAGAAGCTACAATACTATGGATACAAAATTAACTCCACGAGGTAGGAGTAGAAAGCGGCGCGTGAAGTGCTGAGATACGAGTTAGATGCTACAATATAATGGATAAAGGAAAGAAC